TCTATTTTTAAATGCCGCCTAGTATTTAAATTGCCTGTGGGGCAAAATCTCCATTCCTCATAAGCTCTGCTTCTCGGAGATTTGCCCACCACAGTCACTCCTTCCGAGTTGTATGCTCATTTTAAATTTAATATTAATTAACTATTTAGTATCTTTCCTATTCTACTTGCAATTTATTCTGTGTGGCAAAATAGTAAAATAAAATAGATAAAATAAAATAAAATAAAATAAAATGAGGTAACTCCCTTAGGTGGGTAACCCTCCTGTCCATATAATCTCTCATTTTAATTTGATCACGTTTATATGGTAGGTGGGGTGACCCACCAAGGTGGGTCGCCCGGTCTGCTAGACCGCGTTACCCTCTCAGCCGGGGTCAAATTTTGCCATGTGAACGTTTCAAGGTGGGGTAGCTCACCTAGCAGGGGTCGGATTCGTGATACATCAAATTCGCGCAGAAATCACTTAAGTGGTGGCTTCATTGTTAAAGGTAACAATAGAGAGCCACAGCACTGAAAGTTGCACCAAGAGCAGCAAGTGAATGTTGAAGAGCATTAATCGCCAAAACACGTGGTTTTCCAGCATTTTTCTTGTTTACGTGCTTAGCGACGATTCAATAATCTTGAGAAAGCTTGAGAAAGCCCCCCTTGAGAAAGCCCCCGGGATGGCGGGGTTGTAAGATTGCATGTAAAGGAGAGTTAATTTTTAACCCCACCTAAGTGGGTAATACCTCACCTACCTGGGGTCCCCCACCTCCATGTAAACGGGCCTTTAATAGCTACAACGCACTCACATTAAAAATAAGGTGAATTACAATTTTGCTACGCATAATGAATATCTAATTAGTTTTTAGGGGGTAGGCCCAGGCTCCCTTCTACATTTGCGAAAATAAATGCGGGCTGAAGGGCCAAAACTTTTTTCGGATACCGAGCAGAATTCGAGCAGAATAAGCGATTTTTACAAGCACTGCCGGCTGGCAGAATAAGCCATTTTACGAGCAGCCGAATTTATCCAAGCCTAGTTTTGATCTTAACAAGCAAATCAACTCTGCACGTGCAAATTAAGCACGTGCATGACGTACGCTTTTTAGTCGGATTTCTTTGCCGTCGCTGCAAGAATGGCAAAACGAACTCTTTCTTTATGCATTGACGTTGTCCTCAAGCGAAACACGATGGCGAAATATCTGTTAACAGCGATTGCTACCAAGCTAAGCACGGACACGATTTGTGAAGTAACTCTAACATAGATCCCAATTTTGCACAAAACGGAAGCCAAAGGATCAGATATCCACATTCTACCAGTAATAGCTCCTTCTGTTGCATATACCAACCAACTGAAATACGAACAAAGAACGTCTGAGGCCGCCATATTGACAATGTAATAAATGCTGCTTGTTCTGAGGTTGGCGGTTTCGAAGAAAGTCATAACAACAAGAGAGTTTCCAACTAAAGCGATGAAGCTGATAGCGGATAAAACCGCTATAAAAACTGTCGAGGTGGCTTCGGACTTGAAATTTTCCGATATGAGGTTTCACTCGAGGACGCAAGCAAAAGACCACAGTTTTTTCTTTCTATCTCTAAACTTTGATTGAATTAGAAACAAAAACAGTGACAGATTTCGCTGCCGTCGCATCATAACTGCACGACACACAAAGACATATACCCCGTTCACACCAACACTTAAACATGTTTAAATAATGTTTAGTTAAACTCAGTTAAAAAAAAAAACAGTTCGCATCGCACGCTAACGCAATCTAAACACGTTTAAGACGTGTTTAACTAAACAACCTGTAGAAGGTAGTTTAACTTTCGCGCGAAACTAAACTGCTTCAAAATGGCGGCCCCAAAAAAAATTCGCGGAAGAACGTGGGAGGACCGGGAGACTAGAGTTTTGCTCAAAAATGGGGCGACGAAAACGTTCAGCTAAGATTGAAGTCCTGTATTAGGAAAAAGTCAATATGGCAAGAAATCGGCGACTTTTTAATGGCCTGTGGATATGAAGACCGCGACGGAGAAGACTGCAAAACCCGCCTCCACACTCTTATAACGGCATACCGCCAATACAAAGACGAACTTAAGAACACGGGAAACGCCACACCAAGCAAAAAAACACCATTCTTCGACGAGCTGGATAAAATAAGCCGAGTACACAACCAAAAGTTGTCGTCAATTCGACAACAATTGTTACGGCATCATCGTGTGAAGACGAAAGTGAAAATATTGAGATCATCCCGAAGGGCAGCAGCAGCAGCGACAACAACAGTAGTAGTAGTAGCAGCTCTTCTGAAGTGTTTCAGGAGCATCTATTGGCAGGTAATTTGTAGCTTTTTCTCTCGTACAAACTGTCAGTGTTTCTTTTTTCGCAAGTGGAAGTTATAATAAGAACAGTTAAAATGCCACAGGCGTCAACAAAACCTTTCCCCAAGGACGCCACGAAAATCTGAAAACAGGATATTCTATTGGGCAACGAAACAATACTTGAATGATAAAACAATAATAGGTTTGTTTTCGAAGGCCAATGAAAATGGAGGTTTCCGAGAGCACCTTACATGAAGTACACTGTGTTTTCAGAAACAGCGAAGAAAACTGAAGAGAAGAAGAAAGTTTTCACACGAAAGAAGAGGAGACTTTCAGCTGCCGATGGTTTAAACAAAATCGACAAGGCCTTAGAAACCTTCATGAATTATCAACAAGAAGCTGACAGGCGTTTTTGGGAGGCAGAGGAAGAAAGAGAAAGAAGAGAGGAAGAAAGGGATGAGAAACGACGAAAAGAAGATCAGGAGTTTTTCCTCAAACTGATGCAGGCACTCAATAAGTGAAATCATTACTTTCAGACAGGGTTGCTCCTTTTATCGAAACTTCAAAGCTATTTTATAACAGAACTTAGGACGGAATCCAACAGGAAATTGAGTCTTCTTAATTTTTAGTGGACAAAAATCTTGTACCAGAATAATTTTAATTAAACAATATTGCCTTCTTTTTTACATTTTTCAAGGGCTAAAGATGTAATCAGTTAAATGAATGTGAAATTTCACAAGAATTGTGAAAACACAGGTAAAATTCTCAAAATTTCATGTGTAAGATGTAATTTTGTGAATTTTGACATTCATTTTCTCGGGCTCCCATAAGAAATATAATTTTGTGTTATAGTCATTGAACAATGTAAAAAAGAATGCAGTATGCTTAGAATTATTCTGGTAGAAGGTTTTTGTCCTCTTAAAATTAATATTATTCAATTCTCTGATGGATTCCGTCTTAAATCTTAATTAATTTTCATTTACTTTAAAAGATGAATAAATTTCCTCGACAGTCACTTCTCCCCAGTTCAAGGGATTATAAGGTTTAAATAGGTTTTTTGGGAAATATTTTTGGAGAAAAGTGTAGTTTTAGATCTGGAGTGTGAGTTCCTTTTCCTTTCACTCATTGAAGCTGTCAGATCATTCAAGTTTTTAACAGAGTATTGTATAGTATAATTCAGGAAAAATGCAACTTGTTCAAGAAAATTTGGTAGGAGTTATGTTTTGTGAAGTACTCCTTACCAGGGGTTTCAAAATGTTTTAAAATAGACAGCCGACTCTGGAAAAGTAGGCAGCTGTGACAATCAAGATTGTTTGTCATTAACTGATTGTTATGACGAGAGTAGCCGGCGACATACAATCAAGTAGCCGGCCGAACTCTGGCAGTCGCCAGCTTGTTTTGAAACTCCTGCCTTACTATACCCTAGACTTAAGCATAAGCAACAATCTTGGACAAAACTGTTGAGAAAATTGCATACTTGGACAGCATTTTTCTAAACATCGTAGCTGTACCGGTTCTTCCCTCTCCCCCTTCCCCTGAAAGCAATGTTGTTGCGTATTGAAAAGAAAGCCTGATCCCTGGGCGTTTGTGGGAGGCAAAATTGAATTGGGGAAGGGGTTTTCTTTCCGCAAAGGCCTCGTTTTGGAAATAGTTTTGTTGCGTAGGAAAGTGGACATGATGGGGAAAACTTTCTCAAGTAGTTTTGTCCGGGATTGAAGCTGTTTATATAAACCATGGCTAACAGCAGATTGTTTTTAGAGCATTATTTGTTACAAACTCACTCAAGGAAGTTGTTGGTAATTGTCTCTTTTCAAACATATATATTTTTTTGATTTAGCTTGTTGCTTTTTTAGAAATAAGATCTATAGTGGTATTGAGATCTGAGGCCCATTAATAAAAAGGCCCAGTACCTTTTCAAACCTGGAAAGCTATTTTATGTTGGCCGTGTTTGCATCTAAGGGCAAAGTTTCAATACAGGTAATTTTGAAAATGATACAATGAAGATTCTGTGCTGCTAATCAACTGGCTTTGATTTTAAAATTTGCCTCCAGGTCTGAAAAGTTTCCTGGCCTTTTGAGAAACAGGCCCCTGGCCCTAGCCTGAATTTTCAGATGTTCTGTTGAGTAGAATACTTCCAGTTAAAAAGGAACATCCTGTCCACTGGATAAATTTCCATCCAGTCGGATTGTGTCACAATTAACGTAGAATTTTTGTTAACAGTTTTCACTGTACTTCATTAGGTTCAATATCTGATCTTGTTGATAGTATTATACCTTCTAATGAAATACCATGGTTGCATGTGTTAATTATTAAAATAATGTTGGTGGTGGAATAATGATGTTGGTTAAACCTGGTGTGGACCACTATCTTTTAGCTTTCATCATGCGATTATGCTTTTTCTTTCATCAGTGTAAACGCCCTCTGACCTTTAAAGATTGCAATATTATTGTGACAACTACTTACATGTAAAAAATAGTCATATATCGATACACATGAACTTTCTCGATCATCAAACTTGACTTTCAGAATTTCCAGGCAGCATGGTTTGCGTGAATAGAAATTATTATCATAATGATAACACCGATAACAAGCAATAAAAAGTAAATAATATTTAGTTTGTGGTTTGCATTGGTTGTAAAGATTTTTTGGAAGGGATAGGACAGAATATGCAGACAATGCCCTCCCACACAAAGAGAAACATTTTCAACCCCCTCTTACATTCATGAAAAGAAAAAAGGAAACCTGTGACACCCCTCCCCTGAGTGATATCTAATTGCCCCAAAGATCCAACTCTGCTCCCTTAAACTATGATTATTCTTGACTCTCTTGGACATCAAATGCATCAAACTCTGATGCATGGAATTACTGTAAAATATCTTTATAGATAGCTATCAGTGGCAAAACTTAACCATAAGACTTTTAGTAAAAAAAATTGTTTTATTAAAAATCAATCAGCTATATTTTGCCGTAAAATTTATGAAAAGTCTGTTGCAAAAACAAAAGCCATATTAATGACCATATTTAGTAGCATTTTGTGTCATTTGATCAAGATGAAGATTTAAATAGTTTAGCATAAACAAGTTTAAAACTTGTTGTCGTACCTGCCGCAAATGCTGTGAATGAAAAATCGCTTTGGAAAAATTGATGTCAATTAAAACTTTCTCAAACCATGTATTGAACGGTAACGGTAACAGTTTAGCTTTGTTAAACTGACAATTGAAATTTTTGTACGAAAGTATTCAAGTTTGATAAGTTTTTTTGCTAAGCTGGGAAAGGTCGTCAAGTTTTTCTTACTTTGTTTACCCCAATGAAATCCTGGTGTTTGCTAAATTTTAGCGTTCAGATTGCTCTAGATTGCATTCTAGAGTACTTAAATTTTTTTCCGGACCCCCCTACAGTTTCTTGTGCCTTCAGCACTCATCATTAACACTGTCGTGCCAATATTACACATACTCCCAGTTATGCCCCACCAAAGAAAAAACCCGGCGCCACCCCTGATATAACAACATAATAAAATATTCGGGGGTTTTCTAATCGCTTAACTACGGTTTTCGGAGGTTGTGTTATACACATTTTAATACTAGGATATTGCGATTATTGTTAAAAAAAAAAAAAGGTCTCCTAAACATCCCGGTATAGAGACAAAATGTTGAACGGAAAAAAGGTACGATGGCTAACAAGACTGGACGAAAAAAACTGCAATGATGTTGCCGTGAGCGCTAAAGCGAAATGAATTAGAATAAACGATGAAACTTACAAAGTGATCTAAGAACAAAGAAAGTTATGCAGAGAAATCTAACAGAATATGAATAGCGATAACTGAAAAGAATGTGAAAGGAATGTGCAACTATACAAAGAACTAAACGCTAAACATATTGACGTGGAATGCGGCCGTAACATCTCGCTCCCCTAAGAGTTAGGAAAAACTCTTATGTCCTTAATTCTTAATTAAGCATTAAAGTTCATTGAACATCTCTAAAACTCCATGGCTCCTCTGGCTGGGATATACCCCAGGTCCTCAGTTTTCTTCATTCTCAAGTATTAGCACGAGCTTCTGAATTGGCCTCTCCAACGTTGTCGTTGCCGTTGCATCCTTCACCGATCGGACCTGTCCCGTTGAATCTGGGCGTGAGTCGACAACTCGAGCCATATTCCATTGATTTCTTGGCACTCTATCATCGGCGATCAATACAAGGTCCCCTCTTTGAAGGTTTCTCCTCGGGTTGTTCCATTTCACTCTCTCTTGTAGGGTCTGGACGTACTCCTTTCTCCATCTCGACCAAAAGACGTTGGACAAATATTGAACGCGTTTCCATCTTCGACGGAGATAAACGTCGCCTTCTGGAAGTTACCCGGGGGCGGCATTACGATCTTTGATGTCATCGTCAATAGGTGACTCGGCGTTTAAGGATCCAAATCTCCGGGATCACTTGACGGGAAGGTAAGCGGACGGCTGTTGATGATGCATTCTACCTCAGCCATCAAGGTTCTAAGAGACTCATCATCAAGGACGTGACCATATTCTCGCATGGACAACATGGATCGAACAGATCGTATCTGACGTTCCCAGACGCCACCCATATGAGACGCAGCTCGGGGATTCCTTTTCCATTTGATAACCCAATCAGTCTTTGCTGAGGCGTCTTTGGATGTCATCATGGTCCATCTCCTCTAGGGCTTTCTTAAGCTCTGTCTGAGCTCCCACAATGTTGGTTCCCTGGTCTGATCTGGCCCTCTCCTTGCTATGAATCTTCGTAGTGCGTTCATGAAGGAATCTGTTTCTAGCGAGTCTGCTGTTTCGATGTGTACTCCTCTACTGGCTAAGCAAGTAAATAGTACCCCATAACGTTTGACTTCTTTCCTGCCTTGCTTTAATTGAAAGGGACCAAACAGATCGACACCACAATAGGTGAAGGGAGGGGCAGATGTTATCCTCTCCTCCGGCAGATCAGCCATCTTCTGTTCACCGGTTGTTCCTCGAAGACGACGACACACAACACACTTGGAAATGAGATGTCTCACAGCAGAATTCGCGCTATCCAATATCGGCTTCTAAGCTCGTTCAACGTTATGCCTCTGCCAGCATGAGCGACTTTCTTATGAGCGTCGCGAATGATAAGCTCGACAATGAAACTCTTCTTAGGGAGGATAACCGGATGCTTAAAGCTTTCCTCGAACTCCTGTGAATTACCCAGTCTACCACCAACGCGGATGAGTCCATCCTTGTCTTGAAAGGGATCGAGGCGGAACAGGGTACTTGACTTCCTAATTTCAGACTTCTTCGCTTTCGCGAATTGGCGATCGTCCTTGGAATATGCTCTTTGAATCTTCTCTAAGGCTCCTATTTCCTTGGGAAACGCTCTGCTCTGTAAAAGTTTAAGAATGGTCTTCTCAGCTCTATCCAACTCTTCTACCCTCAGAGGCTTGGCTTCAACCTTTGTGGCGTTTCCACCTCTCCTTGTACCATCGTCAGTAATACCTTGCTTGGGCTTGAGACGGAGTATCCAAGCAATAGATTTCT